CTCTCTCTCTCTCTCTCTCTCTCTCTCTCTCTCTCTCTCTCTCTCTCTCTCTCTGTGTCTCTGTGTGTGTGTGTGTGTGTGTGCCCGGCAGAGTATAATTTGTGGATTTGTTTCCATAAGCCCCTGGAAATTCTAGCATCTGAAGTCAGGAATCTCTACAAATGTAAATAAAAAAAAAGGAGGAGAAAAAAAAAACGAACTGGCAAACTCTAGAAGCCTCCCTTCCCTTCCCCCCCCCCCCCCCCCCCCCCCCCACCCCCCGCCCCCAATCCCTTCCTGTGATGGCGGGGCGTGGGGAAGAAGATTGTGAATGATCATCAAGAAAGAAAGCAACAATTTTAACAAATAAGGAGGAAATCGAATAATCAAATAAACAAACAGTCAACAATCAATCAAGTAAAGGAATATCCGATGGTCCACTCGTTTCAGCAGCGTTACTATACACCAGAGAGGTCGGATCTGGCAGCCACACACATGGGCCATGGCGCCATAGCTCTTCTCCTTCCCGTGCTCCGTACATTTATGTTATCAGCCTTGGCACGCCATATAGGTTTTTTTTTTGTTGTTGTTTTAATTTGGAGCTCTTTGTCATACATCGTTGTTTTGATTGTGGGTCATCGATATTAGAGTCTGGTGGCTGCGAGCAATCTTTGTTTGCATGTGATGAACTGGGCGATGTAGGTCCGGGTAATATATCCTGACTGTTGGTTAATTAGCTCATCAACCGATCAACCAATCAATTTCCTAATGAGCCGGTCAATCAACAAATACTCACACACACCCTCCAATCAATCACTCAATTAATCGAATTAAACCAATCAAATCAACGAATCATTCAAATCTTTCAGATCAACCGATCAATCAAATCAATCAATCAATCAATCAATCTCTCAACCTTGATCTATACATCACTCAATCAATCAGCCAAATCGTTGCTACCAACTATGTTGACCCTTTATTCAAAAAACCAATCAATTAATCAAGAATGAAATAAGAGAAACAAAGAGAGAATCTGATAGGCATTGGAGTGCCATGTGCCATGGCTTGCGATCCCGTCAGGGGCAGCGAGGGGATGGGCTATTATTCGAAGCAGTATGCAGCTCCAGATTCTCAGGATCGAGTCCTGAGGGAAACTTCAAAGGTGATCCGAGTGTCTAACTAATCTGCGATCTGGAGGTAGTTGCGTGTACCAAAGAGAAGATCACAAGAAAAAAAAAACAGGTACTACTCATCTGGTCACACAGAAAGCGTCCACTCCACTCAAATCTCACACCATCAATTCTTCAAATAGTCGTTCTCACAGCTCAAGTACACGATGCACCAACCCCCTCGTACTCGTGAGATCTAGATGATCAATTAACACAGCCCTCTCTCTCTCTCTCTCTCTCTCTCTCTCTCTCTCTCTCTCTCTCTCTCTCTCT